CATGAACGTGTGTGTTGGAGATTAACATTTTGTAAAGAAAGTGACAAATTATGTTGTTCTTTTTTGCGCAAACAAAGCACTCATAAAATTGAGACAGTTGGATTTTTTTTTTATGCCTTTACTACCTTTCTGGGCCTTAAAATTGGTACCCCTTAAGCTGCAAATGCTATTTATTGAACAATTAATTTAAACTAATTAATACATTATTTATATACTTTTTTAAAATTAAGATTAAATTTATTATTATCTTATTTTTGTGAAGTAAAATTCAAAATTATTTGTGAAAAATATATTTTTTTACAAATAATTAATTGAAAATAAATGTTGTTATTTACTTTTTCTTGATTACCACTTAATGTCCCTCTATAGTCAATAATTGTATCCCTCAGAACCCATCTTTGATCACCAAAATGGCATATTTAAAAGTTTTTTTCCTGTGAATATTTTTTTAGTCATGCCTTAAAAGAGTTTGAAAGTAACTCTACACTTTTCATTTAGTATACACGGATTCATGAATATGCCAATGCCTCCACTAACTCATTCAATGGCATGTATGGCTCTCTAAAACGCTGGACATATAATGGTAAATAATGTGATTAGCATTTGGCTTGATAATGTTTTCAAACAGTTAATAATGTGTTGCAAATGTTACTCAAACACCATCTCAGAATCAGTCAGCTGTCTTCTAAAAATCAGCATCCTTAGAAACGCTTTGAGCATCATAGAAACTATGAAAGTATATAGTTCATCATAACATCATAAAATACACCAAATACATTATTGACCCTCTATATTGCTAAATATTCACGATTTGTTACTTGAGCAGAATAATATAAATTTACAATATACATGCTGTACATTATCAGCAAATATGTTGCTATAAGCTTTCCTTGAATAGTTAATATAGATGGGTTTTCCTCTTATGAAACCGATGACATGCTGTGTGTCTTTTGGCAAGAAGTATGGCCTTCCTGATGAATGAACAGACCATTGACCCTAGAGCCAGCACCTCTTTACCCTTTGCTTTTGAGGATGACGAAAATGGGTCCCAAACGGTTGTCATGGAAACTGGGATCATTAGCACCAGCTGTGTTTGTTTTAAGGCCTTAAGATTCTTCTCACGTCTTTAATTTAGTTGGACTTGGTGTTAAATTACACTTATCGAATGCTTTACTCTCGACCTCGCTTGATCGTCAGCTGCGGCGCTTCATCAACACGCCGACGTCCTTGTGTCCATCCGTTGATGATTTTCACACAAAAAGGGTAATTGAACAAATTGGATCACTCCCGTAATCTGTTTTAATCACTTATTTGACTTTAAAGAGGGCTTATTTGTAAAACCATTTTTCTCAGGCTCATTCGATTTTTAAGTGCGCTCAGCCCTGGAGTCTCACTCAAGCTGTAGGAGGGTTTAGCAATAGTGTCACTGCAGGTGATGTGATATAACAGCTTCACACAACACAGAGATGCTCGGTTATGAATCTATGCTGACATCAGACTGTTGGGATTAAATCTTAAACCTCTTTACTGTGTTGCTCATCAGTGTGACCTAGAAAAGCTGAATATTGAATAAACATAAAGATTCAACTACTAACAGAAGTCTATCTGAGTGCAACAAACAGGAGCAGTTGGCAATTTAATATATTGTTTTAACAATGTAGTTTGCATGTCAGATATCAATATGGTGTGTGAAAATGCTGGGAACGCATCAAAGCAGATGGTATTAGAAGATGCGAGCTCATGATGTGAAAATAATGTCTAGCTGTGGTAGCCAGAACACCACATGGAATCTGTCATTAGGGACCAGTTGAAGGAACTTGATATGGTTCAGTTGGATATGTGACACACACAGAACACACATCAGTTCAGGTTTCATTCTGCTACAGTCACCAATGCATTGTTTCCATAGCGATGAGCTAACAATGTTAAAATCTGTGTATTTGACAAGTGAGATTACATAAGAGTGTAAGCCTGTAGCGTGCAATTGATACCTGGGTAACTCATGAGAATCCTCAAATGGCATAATATGCTGAGGTTTTCATTTGGATTTTTGTTTTTGTGAATTTCTCAATGGAACACTCAGAAAATTGGTCTGGGAATTGACTGTGATTATTTTCTGCTGTGGCTCATTCATCTGGGCTGTTCAGCATTAAAATGCCATTCTACTTGTACTACTATGATTTTCTGGAACTTGGTAATACCATGGTGTTGTTTGAAGAACCTTGGAGTGTTATGTAAATACTGCGGTACATGAATATGGTAATCATGGAATACCAATATTGAATGTTTTATTTCCTTTAAAATACCGGCACGACGTCGCTCTGTGATCTTTCAATATAATAATAATAATAATAATCTATCTACACATAGATATTTTGACCAAATCTCACATTACAGTATGTTGAATTTAATACAATTATGTGAACAAAATGACATTTTAAACATTTAGGGAATTTTTAATGGACTCATTTGTCTTGCTAGCATCTTATATATCTAAAGTACAATAATTACATGCAATTTCGCAAACTTACAATGGCTGGCAGTGGGGGGTGCAGATGAGAATACTGTATTAGGCTGCTGTCACTTTAAGACCTAGAATCTGAATTCTTTCTCAACTGTTTACATTCCCTTAAAGGGATACTCCACTTTTTTTTGGAAATAGGCTCATTTTACCACTCCCCCAGAGTTAAACAGCTGGGCTTTACCGTTTTCGAATACTATTCAGACGATTTTTTTTGTTTAGAAGAATATCAGTAACCAGACAGTTTCTGGTCTCGTTGACTTCCATAGTATATTTTTTCTATGTGCTGGAAAAAAAATGTGCTGGTTACGTTTACGAGACAATAAGCTGATTACTATTATTATATTATATATTAAGACCCTTGATCCTCACCTGACTATGGCTTTGTAAACTTTATCCATGATGTGGTTGATAATGGACTATGGTACAGAAACAGTGACACTGTTACACACTCTTGTCTTGGCTTACTTTGGCTATTCTCTGCTGTCTCAGACCACAATAAATTTGTCCCGTTTTAGTCACCGTAGCTTCTTCGAAAGGGAGGGCTGAGCAGTGGGCTGAGCCCTTAGGTCAAACTCACAACCAAACCACTAGACGTCGCTAAAAACAACACACTGCATCGTTCAGATATCGCAAGCCATTGTAAATGTAAAAGTGCGATATTTTGAAAATGTTTATACATTGTGCACCTTTAAGATTAATAGTAATGGTAATAATAAAAAAAGTACACATCAAAGGAATTTTAAAAGTAGGAAAAAATAAATGATGATGGCATGATGAAATGTTTTCAATCCTTTATATAACAAAAAATGATAATAATAAATTCGTCAACCCCTGGGACATAAAAGTGCCTCTCACTGAAAAAACACTTGCATAGTCTTTCTATCTGATACCATCAGTGTATTTTTTTGTTGTTCAGTTTGGCTTGTGTATTTTTCTTCGGGAGTTACTTTTCCATACATTTTTTTTTCTTGTCATTAAACAAGTGCTGCATAACTTATTACTTAACAATTTGTTGATTGTTTTCACAAATTAGCATATATCTGAGCTCGGTTACCAAAATTGTTTGGGTTATGTCAGGACACCATTACAATTTTATGCAAAACGTAGTGGATTAGCTATAACACAAAATTCATAAATGTTTATTTGACCTCTGCTTCAGAGAGGCCTCTCTTCACAACAGTCGAAGAGGCGAAGACAATAACATTGACGTCTTCATGCAGTTTTAATTGTAAGTGGAGTAAGCAGAACCATGCATTAGCTCAGTAGATAAAGAGCTCAAACTGCTGCCCACCAGCTGATGGTACTGAGAAACCAAACACCCCGCTTACAATCCTAGTAGCATACGGTGCACGTGTGTGTGTTTACATTATAAACCTCCAGTTTATAAGAGCAGCTCTATTAGATCTTCAAGGTACTTTTATACTTTACAGTTCAATGTTACCTGAGGTGAATTTTCACCCATTTAACTGACAATGTTTATTCTTCTATGTGGTACAATAGGGTTTTTTTATGCTGTGTTCATTTACAGTGAAATTGTTCCAAACATGACTCACCAGATAAGCAGTGGGAAGTTTACTTAATAGAGCACTTCAAAGGAGAATTGAGAGGAAGTAAAAGGATGAACTAATTAAAATATGGTTATTACATAAGGGTTAGAATTGCCTAGTCATAATGTGTATTCCTTCTTTAAGTTATTTCTTATTCATATGTACCAAATTTGTACTTTCATTGTTTTCAACACTCCCTTTTTTAAATTAAATTATTTTTTATATATATATTTACGACCTATGTATGTGAACTGCATATAATTTTTCCATCCTTTTGGATTACAGAGTTTTTAACATAAACGAATAAACATATGCTATGCATATTTGTCATGCATACTGTAAATGATGCAGGCAAGATTTCTGGATTTGAAAATAATGGCATAGTTTATTATTACCTATTTGCATCTATTTGATTTTATTTAAAAAATACAATTAAATAAAATTAATTTATTAAAAATAGTTTAGAATCAGCATAAATGTGATAATTGTGAAAACAATAGCATTTATTCAGTTAAAAAGTATAAACATCATAGCTAGCTGTGTAACAAGCAATATTCAACTAGTTAAAATGTATTAGACTGAAAGAAAGTGGATTTATTGATGATTGTAAATTGTAAAACACATTCAGTTTATTATTACTAGTATAACAGAAATCCTGTTTCATTCATGTTTCATCTACCGTTTGTATAATGACTGACGAATGTGCATTACATTCATTAGTTTGTTTATATGCGTAATCCAAACTGATTAAAATGTTATATGCATTTAAAATACATAAATCTTAAATTTAGGCCTAAATATTTTTTTGGAGTGAATTTATCTTGTATGTAAAAACAACAAGAGAGGTTTTGGTCCTGTTCTCATTCTCTTGTGTTTTCTTTCTCTCTGGGTGTCAGTTATCACCTGAGGTGTCTGTTTCTCTCTTTCAGGGTCAGTGCTGCGTGACCATGACCGAGGAGAGACGTCGCCACTGTCGGAAGTGAAGCGCTTCCCTCGGAATTCAGAGAGCCGGGTCCCAGAGCTTTGGAGGGATAGAGAGGCTCTTAGGAAGACCATATCCGTTGATGACCGCCTTCTCCAGCAAACGCCTAGTGAACATCACAGACTCCTCAGTCGACTAGAGAGGGGCAAGAAGAAACTCAGGAACATCAATGTGAGTGGTAAAGATGTCTCATATCACTGTCAAATAGAGGTTAGATACAGACTTTATAGGGAATTCCACATTGGTCAAAGTTACAAATGCGCCCTTCGTTGCTTATTGCAATGTCTTTTTTGTTTACTTGCACATATTCTTGTGTTTTGCTCTTAGTTTTGTTCACCTTTGTAGGTGGATATTGATGCAGCACAAACAGCGTTTTGACAGTTTCACAGCTGCTGTGTTATTTCTGTGAGGTTCTTCTTCATAGACGTTCAGTTGTGTAACCGTTCAAAAAAAGGCTTGCTTGCCCAGAAATCATCCTGGAGTTTGATCATGGCTTTCTATTCAGCGAACACTCATCTGTCATCCTACACCAGTGAGTCAGTGCTTTGAGGACGCATTGCCTTGTAACCTTGCATTAGGGACTTTTGCAGAACATGAATTTGATCTGCATACATTTGCCTTTGTTAAAAAGCTGTGCAGCTCTGAAAACTTTTATATATATACTGTATAAATGTATATGTTAAGAGGGGGTAGATAAAGAAGCGTTCATAATGTACGTATGCTTTTATGTGCTGGCCTCAAATGATCGTGGCCATGAATAACTATGAGATCTGTGCATTTCGAACTTCTCCCAATGAATGGTTTAAACCAGACCTTACCTTGTTTAACCTAATTAGCATGTTGAAAATCCAGCATCAAGGATTTCAAGTTGGAGTTGTTTACCGATAATGTACCATCTATAAAATGGAAAAAGTCATTTTGATCTGGATGCATCTATAAAAAGTAGGATCCCTCAGGGGCTATGTAACATTAAAATATAAAAAAAACGCCAAGATAAATTTAAATTTATTTGAATAAAATTACATCATCATAGTATCATAATCGAGGTGAATACAACAATAAATCACGGGAGTACTTTCAATATTTTGCTTTACAAATAAAATGGAAAATGTATCACGTGAAAAGGTGAATAATATTTTGAACTGATTTTTGTAAACATTTTAATGTTTTATTTAACTGAACTTTTCTTATGTTTTTTTTCTTCTTTTTTTAATCATATTTGTAAGCCTTTGAATTTAAAAATGTTTAATTTTTAACCAGCTCATATACCCAAATCGTTTGAACAAACTGAATCACTAAAAATAATCTGACACATCAATGCTGCTTTAAATGCCATAGAGTTCAACAACCCTGCCCCTACTTTTTCCATTCATTTTTCCCATATTATAATCCATCCCAGGATTATAAAGAAGCCTTTGTTAAAGAGTTATAAGCCACAAACCAAGCAGCTACAAGGTAACTTCAAATCACAACACTAAACTACAAACTTCTGAAAATCGGAAATCAAAGTTATTACAAGACTGTGTGCTTTAGTGATGGAAAGAACTACAATCCCATGAAGCATTGAGAGCAATATATTCTAATTAGAAATAGAGAAATATAAAACTACTCATTTACAAATGTTGATTATATATACAAACACACCTTAAGTTTACTGCAAAATATGCATATAAATATATGCAAAATATGCTTTAAGGATTTTGAGAGTGTTTAGAGCTACATCATTCGGATTGCTTCATGGGAGTGGCAATTTTGGTGCTTGTTGCTTTTTTCAACTCTGATTGGTGTAATTTTCTGTACAGCATCATGGGTAATGTAGTTTTTCAGCTTTAGGTCTGTCTTTAAAAATTTTTAAATTATCTTTCAAAGTCAATCTCTCTATGGAGTTTTTACTTCCAGAACCCATTTGTTATACAGAGTGCTCTTGAGCATGAAAAATGATTTAAGCATCTAACATTTTACATAGATAACATTTAAACCTATATAAAGAAAAATTTGTTTATATTTCCCATTTTGCATTAAATAACTTGCAATTGTGAGTTTATATCAATTCTGAGAAAAAAAAGTTTAATCTTGAAATTCAGATTTTCTCTTCTAAAATTGGGATATATAAACTTCAAAAAGTCAGAATTGTGAGAAACAAAGTTGAAATTACCATTTAAATTATTTTATCCATGGCTTCCTTCCATAGATTAAGCTCCGTCCACAAAACACATTGTGATGGATTATAAAAACCAACGATGCAGTGCTTTGTCGCAAATGATCAATACTTTTTTGTAAAAAGTAGCTGCTCTGCTCGTAATCTAATGCCATGCTAGTAAATACGATTCTTTTGTAGCGACTTAGTTGATCACTAAACACAAATAAACACTAATTATCCAGAAATTAGTATGCTGATGTCAGGAAGGAAATATCAGGGGAAAATAATTAAATAGATTTCATAATGCAATTGAACAGTATACGCTATATAAATATTGTGAGGTATCCGATCTCTTTTCATTTCAACAGTGTGGAATATCAATATGATGTTTGGAAATTCTATGAACGCATCAAAGCAGATGGTATGAGAAGATGCGAGCTCATGATGTGAAAATAATGTCTAGCTGTGGTAGCCAGAACACCACAGGAATCTGTTGTTGGCGGACCAGTTGAAGGAACTTGATATGATTCAGTTGGATATGTGACACACACAGACACCCATTAGTTCAGGTTTCATTCTGCTACAGTCACCAATGTTTCCATAGCAATGAATGAATGAATGAAGTTGGATTCTTGTTTCAAAGTCAGATTACGTAACATTTTTAAAGTGTCATAATAAGCCACAGTTGTGTAGACACCTTGGTAACTTGGAGAATCTTTGATTTGCATAACATGCAGATATCTTCCTTGCTTTTTTGTGTCCTTCAGTGGAAAACAGACATCCAGTACTTGATTGTAATTGTTTTCTAGCGTGGTTAGTTTGGCTTGCATTTCTTTAACGAGTTAATTTAGATCTCAGGAGATGTAATTAAACAAATGTTGGCGAAATAATAATGGCCTACCACTGATATCATCTTGTGCGCTCTGCAGTTTATATAACTTGTATCAAGATGGCCTTTATATGTTTGAGCGTGGTGTTCACAATGGTCTTTTGGGGGAACACATTAAAAATTCAAAGCATTTGGGAAAAAGTGCTAGAGAAAGTGGGACATGTACTAAATATGGTGAATTTTTCATAAATGTAATGTATTTCTTGAGAGATCAGGTCTGTAGACAATATTACAATATAAAATATGAAGAGTTTGGGGTTGTAATCTAGCCTAACATAAGATTTTGTTTTGATAAATCAAAAGTGAATCATACGTCAAGTGTTTTCAATATTTTATAATTTCATTAAGATATAGCTGTGGAAAAGCAATAGATGCATTAATGCAGTGACAAACATCACCGATATGAGACAGTCTATGATACTACTTCCCTTTGATTAAAATGTGGCACTTGATCCCTGTGATTTCCCTGCTGGCCAGGTAAACCCCATTGACTTCCATAGGAAAAAATACTATGTCCATATATAATAAGAGTCCATATACTGTTTGGTTACCGACATTCTTCAAAATATCTTGTTTTGTGTTCAGCAGAAGACAAAAATTCATACAACTCGAGGGTGAGTAAATGATTTTAATTTTTAAAGGAGCATTTCACTCATTTCAACATTAATCTTTATTGAAAGTGGATCCTATATGTAGTCGAAATATAAAAGAATTTTTGAATTTGGTGCCCTCTTGACAGAGAAAAGACAACAACTTGCACATGTTGTGTTTTGTTTCTGTTGTGTATAGACAACAGTTGTCAATGAGGGACTGCTGGGTTATACTTTTGTTTTGTATTTGTTAATTTAACTATTAAAATGTTTAAATGTTCGCCGATTCCCACCTCCTCCTTTCCACAACAACAAACTCCGTTAATGTTACAATGGCAAACTCTTTAGTGAATTACTCCTCGTTTGTATTTCTTTCTATATGGTGAATTACTGCATGATACCTGGATGTTCTGTCAGGCGAAACTAGGATGGTTCACATAACAACGCAAACGTCCGTGTGCTCGTCTGATTCAGAGATTTTGTCCAGGACAAATTGCCATCGTTGAAATTCTCTACAGCAGACAGACTCTGTCTGTGTCTGTAGTTCATATCGAGAGCACATGCATAGCAGTCCGCCTCAGCTTGAGCCAGTCCGGGCTCCTCAAGCGACAGGCAGCCGCCTCCTGTTCCTCCATCAGCCTCCGCTGCTCTTCACTATATTGCGGCTCGTAAAGATAGCCACGAACATCGGATTCGAGCAGTAGAATTTCAAAATCCTCAAAATGACGATTTTTACATCATAATAAGCAGGAAGTAAAACACTTTAATCCTTATTTCTCCCATCTCAGGGGAATGGGCTATATGCACGCATAAGTTCCGCATTTGACGCAAGGATGCTCGTCAGTTTCCGGTTGGGGAGATTTAAAGCGGAGGAAAACCGCGAAAAACGGGATTATGGCAGAGTCTTCAAATTTTACTGTCCTCTCGTCTTTGATACGAAACTTTACATTTAGATGTAATTTTATATATAGTTATGCTTATTTAATACAATTTTAAAAAGAAGCATAAACAAAATGAGGGGTGTCTGTTTTGTCTGTTTTTGTGACTAATGTTTCTTTAGAATAGCCATAGAGTATAAAAACTAATATAAATTCTCGGTATTGCATTGGACTCTACGATCAGCGGAAGTTATCGGGCATCCTTAGAATTTCACCGGAAATACCGCCGTGCATAGAGCCCATTGTCTCTAGATTCCAATTGAGCACATTATTTATTTTTGAGTAACAATAAAAAAAGAAGTAAAAAAAAAACAATAAAAGAGTGTACAATAAAGTTTTTTTTATTTCATTTTGAAAGACAGAAGTCCCTAGAATCCTTATGGCAAGAGCTACTGTATGTAAAGTTTTTTTTTTTTTTTTTTTTTTTTTTTAACAAATGTCTGCGTTTGTCTTTGTGGGTTTGGAACGACATGAGGCTGAGTAAATAATGACAGCATTTTTAGTTTTGTGTGCACTCTTCCCTCCACCCTGGCTAACTAATAATAGGGCTCAAGGCCCATTGATAATCTGCATATGTTGTGAAGATTGAGTAGGAATTTACAGTCCAGCTGGAG